GATGCTGGAAGTGTTATCATGGGAGAAAGTGTGTAAGAGCCTGGGTTTTATCTCCAATATCTGACGCCGAATCCGGTGGATTTTGGAGCAGCCGGCAGATGGCACTGACTCATCTCCTGCTCCACGGAAACATCCCAGCGGGATGCAGCCTCTCCAGGACCTTTCCACCTTCTGCCTTTAGAGGCACCGATCACGGAAAACATATTTGAAGGTTGAGTAAGGCTCTGGCTGCCTCCTGGAACTGTTTGTACTGGGATAAAAATCGCCCTTCTGTGCTCAGGAGGTTCCTGGGATCTGGTGCTGACGAGATGGAACAGCAGACACGGAGCTCGTGCTTCCCAAAGCTTGTCCTGTACCGTGGCTGTTGGGCTGATCCTCAGGATAATCTTCCCTGGCATAAATTTGGAAGATGTGATAAGGTAGATACATCAATGTCGTTTCTTTCTGGCTTTCCTGGGCCACATGTTAAAGGGGAAAAAAATAATTAATTTTTTGCAAAAGGGAGGATATTTCTCCCTTTCCAGCCTCCGGTTCAGCTGAGGCTCTGAAGGTGGAGAGCTGCAGGCCCAGCACCCCTGGGAATTTTTCCATGCTGGGGGTCTTTTTTTGTCTCCCCTTGCCTAGATTTCATTCCTTTTATTTCCTGCATTTGGGAAGTGTCTTGCCCTTGAGCTGTTGGGTTAAACCGAGACCATGGAACATCCCTTGGGAAATGCTCCTGGTCTGTAGGAGGGTCTTGTCACCAGGAGAAGCAACTGGATTTAAATGTGGGATTTTAGTGGATGAACAGATGGACAAGGAAGGGATGAACTGCCTGGGAAAAGCTCAGCCAGGTCACAGCAAGGTTGTGAAAAACAGATTTGACATTCCTGGCTGTGATGTTGGTGAGGCAACGGGAAACCACATCCCAAAATCTGAGTGCAAGGCCAGAGGGATTTTTAATTAAAGAGAAAAGGGAAGGATAAACCAAAATCAGGAGCTGGATTGAGCCATGATGGTTGTTGCTCCTGACTGCAAACGAGGGGCTTCAAGGCTACGGGAGCCATTTACAGCTCATCTGCAAACACAAAGAGAGGGAACAGAGAGCTCCAAACAAAGCTCCTGGAGGGTGAGGAACACAGGGCTTTGTTGGATCTCCTCAGGAATAATGAGGAACCAGCTTCTCAGACAGATTGGTTTGTGACACTGGGAATAAATGGACAAAAGGAAGATGTTCAGGGCAGTGCTGGGCTGGGACAGAGCTGCTCTCACATTGCACCAGCAGGGCCCCAGCAAAGCTACTCTGCAGGGTCTGGGTATAATGAGGAAAGCGATTTAGTGGGAAAAAGGGAACAAGGAGTCCCATCTGTGTGGGAGAAAAGCTCTTTCATTATTGCATTTGTGGTCAGAGTGGTTTTCCAGTCAGCCATGTGTGGATGCTGATGTGAGGGTCTGGAAGGCAGTGGGACACTCTAAAGGGAGCAGAGAGTCCCCAGGCAGGGACAGAGGTGGAACTGGCAGTGCTTGGAATTCCTCCCTCTTCTCATATTTCATAGAATCACAGAATGGTTTGGGTTGGAGGGGACCTTAAAGCTCATCTCATCCCACCCCTGCCATGGGCAAGGAAACCTTCTACTATCCCAGGTTGCTCCAAGCTCCATCCAACCTGGCCTTGGACACTTCCAGGGATGGGGCAGCCACAGCTTCTCTGGGCACCCTGTGCCAGGGCCTCCCCACCCTTAGAGGGAAGAATTTATTTGTAATATCTAAGTTAGTGATGAGTTTTCAGTCACAGAGAATGGGGAGCAAACCTAGAAAATCTTGGAAAAAACCAGCATGTTTTGTGGGAGAGAGCATGGTTTCTCATGGTACATCCTGCCCTTGCTGGCTGTCCTTCCTCATCCATGTGGAAGTTGAGGGCTGGAGAAAGGCACAGTTGTGGATGTTCCCAGGGTTGATGAGGATGTTTCTTGGGGATCTCAGTCCCTCGCTATGGATTTCTCAGCTGTTTTACTCAGAATCCCAAACTCTGTGGGAGTCCTACCCTCAGAGGGAACCTGAGAGAGGGATGAGCCAAGTGGCTGCACACTCATCTCCTGCCTGTCCTTGAGGCTGAGGTGGAAATGCTGACTCTCCCAGAGTCATTTTGGGCTAAGTGCCACGTAGACCCGGCTAATGGGACTCCATGCCAGGCAATCTGGAGATATATTAAACCCAGGAGCTGCTGCAGGAATGATTTGCATGTCAGTGACAGGAGGGAAATTGCCTCATCGTGTCTCTCTGGGTTTTGATCCTGTGAAGTGCCGGGTGTCCCAGCTCCAGTCCGTTTAATTGATTCCCTGAGGCAGTGGAGGCCTCCTGGGATAATGAGGGCACCCAAGGGGAAGATGCTCAGTTATCTCCTGCTTTTACCTCCCTACTCCTCTGGCTGAGTGAAGAGGGGGAAAATCAGCTAAAAATGAAATGTGATGTTTGTTTGCTAAAAATGAAATGAAAAGTGATGCTTCTTAAGAGGGATTTAGTGGCCATGTAGGCTCCCAGTGTCCACCCTCCTGAGATTCCTTGATCTCTGACACATTGGAGAGTAGGGAAACCTGCTTAGGATCCCACACAAGGATGAGCCACCTGGGTTTCTAATGGCCACCTGGAGGGAAACAACCTCCTGGTCTTCCCTGCTTGTGATAGGGCAAGGGGAATGGATTCAAACTGAAAAAGAGGAGGTTTAGATGGGATATTGGGAAGAAATTCCTCCCTATGAGGGTGGTAAGGCCCTGGCACAGGTTGTCCAGAGAAGCTGTGGCTGCTCCATCCCTGGAAGTGTCCAAGGCCAGGCTGGATGGGGCTTGGAGCAACCTGGGATAGTGGAAGGTGTCCCAGCCCATGGAATAAGGTGATATTTAAGGTCCCTTTCAATCCAAACCATCCTGTGATTCCCTTATTCTATGATCTTTTCCAGGTGCCAGAGGAGCAGTGGGATCAGGACAGCCTGGCAGAGAAGGGTGGAGACCTCTCTTGCAGCAGCCACCCTTTTGGGAGACCCCTTCATGTGAGACATCATTTAACGGTCACAACTCCTCACACTTCCCATCCCCAGGGCTGGAATGTAGGACGAGGAGGCTAAAACAGGCTGAGGGTGGGTGTGCTGTGGGAGCAGATTACAAAAGGAGCTATTTTCCCTTGTAAACTTCTCAGCTCGCCCCCTGCTTAGGTCCTGGAAGCTGTCAGAGCTCAGCGGGGATCCCGTGGAGATTTGGGAGGGCAGGGAAACACACTCAGAGGTGGCACTTCTTGCTGATCCCGTGGTGGCACCGATGCCACTGACTGTCCTGGAGTGGAGACAGTGGTGGCTCCAAGGCCACCTGATAGTCTCGGACAACCTCAAGCTCTTCCCTCCTTGGATTTCACTTTAAACCCCGCCCTGTTTAGATCTGGGCATGACTGGATCCTTGTTACTCTTGCCTGTGTTTTTTTTCCTTGGTGATGTTCAGCTGCAGGAGGTTTTTGGCTGCTGGGAATGGATCCAGCGGTGTCCAGCTGGAGCAAATTCCTCATGGGCAGCAGCCCCTGTCCTGCCTGGCTTGGCCTGGGAGACCAGGATGTCCTGGGTGTAGGATGAGGCCAGGAGAGAGCCACCTGAGAGTGGTCTGGGTCAGCCCTGTGCTGAGGGATACGGAAGGACATTCTTCCTTAAAGGAAAGGGATATTTTTCCTGCTAGGAGAGGGGACAATGCTCGGTCACCATGGCAACTGCAGCTCAGGGATGCTGGGTACACACCAGTGCCCTGGCAGAGGTGCTGGGGATGCTGCTGGAGACCAGGATGTCCTGATTCCGGGCTAATTCCCAACACTTTAGCCAGGATTTTGTAATGGGAATAATCCTGAATGCAGCCTTCAATTAAGCTCCTAAATCCCAGGAAGAGAAACAGGAAGTCTGGAGCAGAGACCTTGGGAACCACCTGCCACTTTAGTTTTGCTTTTCTATGGATCTAATTTTCCAAAGGTTCCCAGAGCCTTGGATATTCAAATGGCTCTTTCTATGTGCTGGTTGTTAAGAATCCAAACCAAAGCAGGTGGATGATCCTTTAGCAGTCATAAAGCACCTCTGTGGTTGGTAATAGTGAGGAGATCTGATCTCAGAGGCTCTGCACAACTCTTCCTTCAGCACCTGCACTTGGAAAGTTGGAAAACAGAGATTTGTAAAGCAAGTGGAAGAAAAGGATTTGCAAACCTCTGCTGTTCTAGCAGAGCTCAGGCACTGCCTTGGAATTACAAAGATAGAGCATGTGTCGTTCCCAGCTTTCTGTGGTGCTCTGCTAATTTTCCTGCCTGCTGAGAGATAAAATGGATCCTCTGGAATTCCTCCAAATTAAAACCCAGGCTCCCTCTCCCCCTGCCAGCAGGGAACAGCCCCTGTTTGTCACCAGCAGCATAACTCCACCTTTATCAGGTGCTTCCAGTGCTCCTCAAAACCGGGAGCTGTGAAATATTTTCCTGGATTTCATTACTTTAGAAATGTAATGTTAAATCTCTCAGCTGAGCTTTGTGGCTTCACCAGGCAGAGGCTGAGTTGGAGCAGGAGCTGTGTGTGGATCCCTCTGTGCTGCTGAGGTGAGCACTGTGAGGGAGCTCCGTGTGCTCCCCCTGTGCAGGTGCCGGGCTCCTTGTCCTTCCCTGAGCCTCTGGCTGCCTCTTCCCACAAGGAATGATGCTGGAATGGGCTGCAGCAGGTTCCTGTTCGGGCTAGGTGAAGGGATGGGAGAGGCCAAGTGCTATGTGTTGATGCTCCTGTGCCAAGTCTGTCCAGGCCTCGTGGGAATCCTGTGGGATGTGGGTGCAGCCTTTTCCCAGGAATGCAACACAGAGCTGTGGAAATCAATCCAGCCCAGCTGGAACACACATGCACAGGCTGGTTCCTCCTCCCTCAGCTCAGGTTATCCGTCCAAACCTGCAGTGAGGAAACCTTCCACTGTTGCTTCTTCCCTCGTAGCCAACTCATTCCCTGTTTTCTGGCTCTCGGATCTCACCCCTGCAGCCTTCCAGGCCAAGTTCCAGGTCTTCCCTCCCTCCTTGGACTTCCTTCTGTGCCTGGTGCTCATCTCCAGGGGCTGCAATTCCAGCTGTTTATGGGTAAGATCAACTCTTGCCAGGTGAGCCCAAAGCCCAGCCCAGCGCGGTGGCACCTGGGTGAGATCAGGTCCTGCTTCCTGGTTCTGCTTTCCTGGACTTCCAGCTGATATGTCCAGGGGCTACCAAAGAAGGGAAAACCTGAGGATGGAGGTGGTGGGGAGGTGCCTGGTGATCACCCGGCTCATTAGTCCAGCTACCAAATTAGTGACAGCAAACAGCAGCTCCCATGGGAACTTTTGAATGTTGGGACTGTCAGAGCCTCATCTTTCAGGGTTATTTTATTTGCAGGTGTTTCCCTGAGACTCCTCTACCATCAGAGTTTGGTGTTCCATCAGCCTTGGGCAGCTTGACTTCCCAGAGCATGAGCCTGCTCCCAACCAGCTTCTGCAGAGCCCAAACTTCCCTGTGTTCAATTTCTTGTTATTGCATTTAGTCTCTGGTGACTCCCGAGCTGACAGCTGGTAAAGATGGCATGAAACTGAGTTAATTTTTATTGTCTAATTTGTGCAAAGCTGAAATCAGGGTTCTGAAAGCCTTGCTTTGCATTATAGTGCTGACACATCTGCTGCGTGCATTGGCCTTTGATTCCTGAAAGTCTGTTTTCCCTCTATTTCACCGGGATGAGCAGATCTTTGTGATCTTTTGTAAATGCTTAACACCAGAGCTCAGAACGCCAGGCTGTTAGGGAGCTCCCCCAGCCCTCCCTGAATCTCAGAATCATCGAATGGTTTGGGTTGGAAGGGACCTTAAAGATCACCCCATTCCACCCCCTGCCATGGGCAGGGACGCCTTCCACTATCCCAAGTTGCTCCAAACCCCAACCTGGCCTTGTACACTTCCAGGGATGGGGCAGCCACAGCTTCTCTGAGCAACCTGTGCCAGGGCCTCACCCCCCTCATGGGGAAGAATTCCTTCCCGATATCCCATCTAACTGTGGCCTCCAACTGCGCCACACTCCTGCCCCTTTCCCTCTCCCGTTCTGATTTTCCTGACAAAGCCCTGAGTTTGAGCAACCCTTGGCTTGTGGAGACATTGGAGAAGTTGTGGTATTTCTTGTTTTGAAGCTTAAAATAGCCTGGAATTGGCTCTTTATGTTTCCCAGAGTCTGCTTTGCTCTCCAAACCAAAGCGAAGCCACCACGACTTGAGCGGGAATTAAAGGCCCTGGCTTGAAGTCCGTGTGTGTTTTACGGGCCCAGGACAGCTCAAGCAGGAGCCGTTCCCCTGATAAGAATTATTCTGGATCACAATAAAAGCCACATCAGCTTAAGGCTTCTCCAAGCCTCATTTTATAGTGGCTATTAAAGACTGGAGTGAATTGCTCGGGATGATCCCCCAGGCACTGCTGGAAATAGGGAAAGTGGAGGAACAAAGAAAATGAAACATGTTTTGGGGCCCTGAAAACCATCTTTAGAAAGAGCTTGGTGTGATTATTATTATTTTCAGACCAATGTTCTCTGCCTAAGTAATGCCAGCGAAGTGTCTTGAGCAGCTCCCTAATTTGTGAGGGTCCCAAAGGCACAGCCTTGGGAAGGAATTGGATTTACACTTATGAAAAACAAATTACAGGCTGAGGGCTCGTTAGATGATTCGGAATTAATTTATTGATCTGAGGCTGGAGTGGGTGGAAATAGAAATGGGAAAATAGCTGAGTGCACTTTATCCCAAAACATACGAGATTCTGTCACTGAAGGAGATCAGGGAGCAGTTTTTTGGTGACTCCTTGGATTTGAGGAGCTCATGGAGGGACAGAGGTGCTGAGTTTGGAGCTCCCATGGATCCTTTGGGATGAAGGAGGGAATTCCCTGGCTTTGGCAGCCTGTGATGGCCTGGGAGCAGAGCAGGGTGCTGTGGGATGCTGTGCCCTGCTCCATCAGCACAGCAATAAATCTCCCACCTGAAGATGCTATCATTCCCTGAAAATGGGTGTAGGGAAGATGAAGCCAGACTGTCCTTGGAGGCACAGAGTGACAGGCAAAAGGAAGATGGCAGGAGGAAATGTTCCACTGGGAATAAGGAAAAACCTCTTTGCAGTGGAGGAGTCACCCCAGGTCAGGGGTGAGATTAGTGGTGGGATCTCCATCCTTGGGATGCTCAGACTCACTTGGAGAAGGTCCTGAGCTGTCTGCTCGGACCTGAGGATCTCCAAGGCCCCTTCCAACCTCAATTAATCCATGATTAATCCAAATAGCTCCAAATACAATTGTGCTTTTACCCAGCCTGAGCTCCAGCTTGTGGCCAACACTCCAAAGCCAGTGCTGGAGCACTGGAGCACAAACCATCCATGTCCTCTTGCAAAAGGCACCCAAATCCAGGCAGCTTCAACAGCAACCTTATTTTTTTGGCCAAATATGTGGAAAATAAATCAGGCATTTGTCATTCAATGTGATATTTTTATTGCTGTTTTCAGCCATCTCTGCCCTCTCTGCTTGCTCCCTGTGTGTCCCAGACCTGTCACAGTGGAAAAGTTCCAGTGAAAGCTGGAAACTTGGCAAACTTGTGCAGTATAAAGCAAACCTGGTGTTTCTTTTTAGAGGCTGAAAATAAATACATTAAAACCAAGGATAAGGGAGTCTCTGGGTCCTCTCCTGGCAGGCTGCTTTCCCATGTTTATGTGATAACCTGCTGGCCAGTGCAGAGGCACCAATGGCTAAAAATAGGGAGTGAGCTGCTCCATCGGGTCTGGGATAATCTGGTTTGGAGGGATATGGTCCATCATGCAACCCTGGGAAATCACTATCCTGGCTTTTTAACGTGGAGCAGGATTTGCAGCACTGCATCCATAACGGGGTATTTATCCCGAGGCACGTGGTGCGATTGCCCACACGGGTCAGTACTGCTCTTACTGGTGTTACTGGTCCTGATCTCCGTGGGGTTGGTTCTAATGCTTTTTTGGGGATCCTTCTTGGTGGCATCATTTGGAGCAGGTCAGTGGAGCCCACCCAGCCTTGGCACCTACTGGTTTGTACTGGAAGCAAAGTGGGAGGGGGCTGCTGGGAGTGGCTGTGCCTGTTACAACCTGGGATGGGGGAAAGGGCTGATCCAGTGAGCCTGGATATACCTGGAGGATTATTTGCCCTGGGAGTCAGTGGCTTTGGCCATGGGCAGGGTGGGCACTGCCTGGCACGAGGGGGCACATGAGATACTTGGATCTGTTGGGATGAGCTCTGGATCCTCCACCCTCCAGGAGCAGCGCCACTGATTTCCCCCACATTCTCCACAGCACAGACACCCTGACCATCACCCCCAATTAACGTTAATTATCTCATTAACTCCGCTCACAGGGAGCTCTGTCCTAAATAATGAAATGAAATTTCCCTCTGAACTGGGCCAGAAGATTTTCTTCCCTTCTTTTTTTATAAGTGTATTTCTCTCTTTCCTTCCTGGAGGCAGCTTTGGGCTTTGTTTGGCAGCAGCAGCCGTGGCTGTGGGATCTCACGCTCTTCCTCAACAGAGATCCTCCCAAAGGAAGAGGAAGGGGAAGGGAAATAAGTTGCTGCCATAAATCCCAGGAAACCAGGGCCATTCCAGGAGTTCTCCCATGGCAAGTGTCGCTGCCAGGACCATTCCCTGGTCTAAGCCTGGGAGTCCTAAAGGAGGAGCTACACTTTGGATTAAAGGATTTGCCAAAGTCTAATGAAGGAAGAGCCTCCAGGCTTCCCTTAATTAACAAATTAGCTCATTGAGAGTCTCCCTAATTTGCCAAATATGAAGCTGCCCTATTAATTAAACAAGAGGACAGATTTTAAGTTGCCAAACCTTACATGTAATTGATAAATGACTAATTTAAACCCTTATTGGTGGAAGGTTCCAGGAGCAGTAATGGGGGATGAGCAAGTGGGATCTGATCCACCAATGGGACTTGGGGACCACCAATGATCCCACGACCTCTCCTCTTATTGACCCATCCACTAATTGGGTCTGATTACATCCAACCTCTTTCCTCTTCCCCCTAAATCCCATTAATTCACTGTTTTCCATGAACAGAAGCTCCTCAACAGCTGAGCTGGTGCCAGGCTGGGGGTGATGCACTCAAGATGGGATACCCATGGAAATGCTTTACCTCTCCCTCAGGAATTATGACCCTAAATCCCTCATCTCTGGGGATCCTCTTGCCTCTTACTGCTGTGCAGTTTTATGGATCCCCCCAGTCCCGCCCAGGATGGATCAGGCTCTGAGGAACCTTAATTGAATCTTTAGGATAAAACCTTTCCGTTCTCGCAGACGATCTGGAACGTTAATCCTGGATAATGTGACATGGAACATTTCCACGGCTCCTCGGCACAGCTTTCCCTCCTCATGCTGCCTTTGAGTTTGGATTTGTTTGTTTTCCAAGGCAAACTCTGGATCTGGCTCCCATCAACAGCACCCTTTCGACAGATCCCAAAATTTATATATTTATGTAAGTAATTCTCAGATAAGGGGGCTATTTCGGGAATGGGATTCTCGTGACAGTCCTGGGAGAGGGTTGGATCCAGCACGGGATGAGCTTTAAGCACTGGGATGCTCAAGATGCCTCTGCCCAGAGGAAGATGCTGTGGGGGGACCCCAGTGAGGGCACAGGTGCCCCCACATCTCCCTGGCACTGCCCAGCAACTCTCTCCTTCCAGAAATAGCCCCACACTGGCATGAGCTCAGGAACATTTTGCTGTTATTTTTAAAAATTCCAGGGGAATTGGAGCTCAGGGGACCTGCACCAAAGCCACCCCTGGCCAAAAAAGGCCTGAAAATGGCATTGCATTCTCAGAGCTGGCAGGAATGCTGAGGATTCCCGCAAGGAACCAGCCACTACCCGGTCTGGAGCCGGGCAGCTCCCAAGCCCATCCCAGTGATGGGAAGCAGGATTGGCAAAGCTGGAGGGCACAGTCACCTCCAAAACAGTTGCCTCTGCAAAGCCTTGCTCTGTGGAGCAGTGATTTGCCTGGATGTTCATTACAAGGAAAGTGGGTTTATTTGTTATAAAAATCATAAATGAAGCAGGTTTTCTTATGGATGTTTGGGAAGTTGAAGCCTTTTGGTTTTAAGTTTTTGTTATTGAGACAAATCCAGCTGGTGCCTTAAAGAATATTGGGTGTTTCCCGAGGGCTTTATCAGCCAGGACCCATCGATGGGTCTATTGTTTCCAGGAGATTTCAGGAATACTCACCTCTGCCTGTGTTTAGTGTCTGCTCACTGTGATCCTGGCACATGGGACACCAGCTGTGGAAAAACATATCCAGAGGGATTTTAGGGTGATGCTGAAGGGTTTTCGGGTGAAGGATGAGCCTGAATTAAGCTCCAGCAGTTTTGTAGCCAACACAAGGCCTTGGAGACCTCCCAGCATCACCTGACTCCCAGTGGGATGCTCAGCGTCCAAACCTGGAGCCCTGCCAGGGCTGTTTAACCCTCTTCCATCCTAAATTATCCCCTCTCTATCTGAAATCCCCCCAGGCCCAGGGGTTGGTGCTCACTGTGCCACTAAGTGCAGAGTGGGGAGCTCAGGGATTCTGCACCCCCCCCTCCTGTTCCCGTTCTCCAAACCCAGAGCTTGTTTTTTTTTTTTCCTTGGAGCTGCAGACACCAGCAGTCCTGGCCTCCATGGTTCCCACACAAGCTGTAACACTAAAAAAACCCACAATGAGTGGGAGAAAAAGAGATGGATGACACATTTGCTGCAGGAAAGGGCTCAGGGTGATGAGAAAACACTCATTTCTGGCAAAACTAACAATCTGGGGGGGGAAACTGGGATGCAGAGCAGGGAATACCTGGGCTGATATTGGAATCTGCCTGGTCAGGAACCTCTTTTAAGGATAATAAAGCACAAGGACACACAGAGCATCCCCCACGTGCTGCTTCCTCTGCCCTTTGGAACATTGGCTCCCACCTCCACTGAGCAGCTGGGGGATAAAATTCCTTAAAATTAGATCAAGGCCATGAAATGAAGGTGCAGCACCACACTCAGAAATCCAGCTTTCAGGCCCTTGTGTTTCCAAACCACACTCCATGAGGGGAAGAGAATGAAGGAGTTTGCAGCATTGTACAGACAAGCAAAGGGCGCCAGGGAAATTTGGGAAGGAATCCCAAAGGATTTGTCCAAACGCTCAGAGTCGGGATATTTATGGGAAAACGCTCAGGTGGGGAAGGTGCTGGGAGGGTGATTTGGGGCTGAACCAGCAGCTCTGTGTGCAAACCAGGCAGAGGTGCCCTGACCTGCCCCTGACAGTGGTGGGATGCAGTGGGACATGGTGCCAGCAGCCTCGGGATCACAGTGGGATCTGGCAGCCCCATCCCAGCCACGCCGTGTTCCGGGGTCACGGAGCTGTTTATAAGCCCCGAGTTGCACAAGGTCAGGACTGTTTTTTTCCATTATTGTATCAAATCAGCGAAATAGGGAACATGAAATGTCTCTTTGACATCCTGTATGTGGGCTCTTTATTTTTGCAGTGACTTTTCATTTCCACTTGGATCGGGAGGCAGTGACGAGATTCGGAGCTTGGGACCACAGTGGGTGTGAAGCTGGGAGCCAGAGGGATGAGCTCCCTGTGGGAAAGGAAGGGGATAAACCCAGCCCTGAAACACTGGGATATGTGGTAGGAGCCCTGTGCTGTGTCCTCTCAGCTCAACCCACCTCCTTTTCCAGCCATTCCCATTTATCCCCACGGCTCTGCCCGGGGCGAGGGAAAGTTCTGCTGGATGACGGACAAAGGTCCCCCGGAGAGGGAAAAGCTTCATGCAGTTTCTTCCCCATTAAGTGTGACATCTGTTTTGGGCTGAGTCAGGCGGGTTCCCAGCGCCCACGGGGGAGGCAGAGGAGGGCGAGCGCCTGTGCCGGCGGGGTCGGGTCTGCCGGGCTCCGTCTGTGCATCCCGGCTCGGCAGGGAGGAGCTCCGGGGGTTTTAATGAGCCTAAATCAATTTAGAGCTCTAATTGCTTTGCTCGGTGTGGGTGGCATTCGGTGCTCGCCAAGGACGGGGCGGCTGCCAAAGGCTCCGCTGGCTCCGGTGCCCGGAACGGCTGCTCCCCACGGCCGCTCCTGCAGTGCCGGGGTGGTTCTGCTCCAACACCATCCCTGGGAATGGGGCGTTTGTCCTGGTGCAGGCGCTGCTGTCGGCAGTGTTTTGCTGAGCAGGCGATGCCGGAGGGAAACCCCAAACCACAGCCCAGGGCAAATGCTCGGGAGGCGAAGTTAAGTCCCCAGTCAGCGTGTTTTTGTTTCACCATCTTGCTAAGCACAGGGATAAGGGCCTGGGGGAAGGATCCTGCATCCTGCCTGGACCAGGGGAAGGGGCAGGTGCCTGGGAAAGGAGTAGTGCCAGGAGGATAGGTCCTGCCCCAGTGCTGTGGGTGTGCAAAGCTCAGCGTTGCTGGGAACACTGGGACTGTGCCAGCTCTTGGCTCGGGACCCCTGGGTGTTAACATGCCCCAAGATCAGCCCTTGGCAAGGCCACATGCAGGAGCATCTGTGCTCAGTCATTCCCAGCCCCACCACACCCTGCAGTGGTTTTGAGGAGCCCCCAGGTCCCAGCACGTTTCTCACCCCACACAAGGGGATGGTGCCACTCGAAGCTGCCTGGGATGAGCGTCCATTTATGGCACCCTTTGACTCAGGACACACCAAAGGTGATAACATCAATTTGTGGTTAATTCTCTCCCTTGCTGGCTGGATACAGGATGGTTTGTGGCCTTAATTAACCTTAATTAATCACCTGTAATATATGAACTTCTTTCTGCTGGGGAGAGGGTTGAATTGGTTGGGGCAAGCCCAGGGCCAGTGTTGCTTGGGCCTGTGCTGGAGCAAATCCTGCCCCTTCTGCAAGTTGGGAGGGATAGGATGGAGGTGTCACCCCCAAGCTTCCTTGTCTTTCCAAGGTGATGCCTTTGCACCCAAACCCTGCACTGGCTCTTATCCCACTGTGCTGAGCCTGGGACTGGGATGGCTGTAGCTGGAGAGTGCAGGGACTTCGTGGGGAGGGAAGGAATTTTCCCAGTGCCACATCAAATGTGGAGTTATCCAAACCTCCTGCTCCGTGTGGGTGGGGGCTATGCTGCTCAGTGCTCCAAAACTGGGGCCTGCCCCAGAAAACTTCTTGTTTGGGGCCAGGTTTCCCCTGAATCCCATCCCTGCATTCAGCCTTATCCATCCCTCCTGCCTGGGGCAACCCAGTGCCCCTCTCAGCCCGCCCTGTGCCCCCAAAGGACTTTCCTTGCAGGTGTTATTGGGGCTGTGGGGGACTGAGCTGCCACCACAGAGCCCCCGCGGGCTGGGGGGTGCCTGGAAGCAGCTGCAGCATCCTGGTGCTAATGAAATCCATCGGGAAAGCAGCCCCTGAGCAGCAGCAGCGGCGTTTGGGAGCCAGATTTGCCGAGGGGAAGTGACTCAACGTCTTGGAAGGAGTTGGGGGCGGTGGGGGGGGCAGAGGACAGCGGCTGACCCAGGGTGGGGACAGCACGGGGGGGGGGCTGGCAGCCACCTGCCTCCCGCTGGAGGAGCAGCATCCCCGTGGAGCGCTCTGTGCTCTGTTATCCCTCCTTAGGGCGGTGTGATCCCGGCCTGGGGGACGGGACAGGAAAGGAGGCCCCTTGGGAAGCAGTTGTTGCTTCCTCACGCTGGGCCGTGGCAGGATCCGGGCCAGCGTTCCCAGCTCCCGGCGTCACACCCTCTCCCAGCTGTTGCTCGCGGAGCATCCTGCTGCCAAGAAAACCCTGGTGATGGATGCAACCAGGACTCCTTCCCACTCCCCTCGCACTTAAAACCGGCGGGGAGCGGCCCCGTGCCTGCGCCTGATCCTGCCGCACCGGGATCCACCTGGGAATGGGATCCTGCTGCCACCCTGGACACCTTGGGCATCCTGACCTCGTCCTACCCAACAGGGAACAGTGGGAGAGCCTGGCACCACACGAGGTATTTGGAAAGGTGACTGGAAGGCTTGTTGTGGGAATACCGGGAGCACTGGGGTGTGTTACTGGGGGGACTGGGTGTGTTACTGCGGAGTGGATGGGACAGGACCTGCAGCAGAGCGATGGGGAAGACTCAGCCCTTGTGACTCCCCCAGCCCAGGACCACACTTCTCCTGGTTTTTATTACTTTGGGAAGTGAGTGGCATTTTCCACTGTCATGGGGGCACTGCTCCCCCTGGGCAGAGGGGCTGCACCCCAGTGGGGACCTGCCACAGATGCCACAAGTGTGGCACATCCCGCAGTGCTGCTGCCACTGGCACCCTATGGAGCTGCCGTCCCATCCCGGGGGTCCTGGGAGAGAGGGACCCCAGCGTGCCGGTCACAAGCTGCCCAGTTGGCACATCCCCCCTGGTGCAGACGTCTGGAGTTTTGGGTCTCTTCTCCTTTCCCTGCGCTGGCCCCACTGATCTGGCACATCAGCACTTTTCCTCCTGATTCAGCCTCGGGGATGTTGCGACACGGCCCCGTTGTGCAAAGTGGGCCCCGGCCCCAATTCCTCTTTTTCGGCTCCTGTGGGAGCTCAGCCACGTGCACGGGGGTCGTTGTCCCCACCTGCACGGGACATGATGGCTGTGAGCTCCCCCAGGGAATTGCTCTCCGCTGGCATCACCTGCTGATTCCGGGTCATGGCAGTTTTCACG